TCATCCCAGCCCTTCGGGCGGCGGAGGCGAGAGGACTGCTTGAGTGCAGGGGTTCGAGACCAGCCTGGGCAACTTGGCGAGCCCACGTCTCTACAATAAATCAAAAAATTAGCCGGGTGTGGTGTCGCGCGCCTGTGGTTCCAGTTACGCGGAAGGCCGGGGCGAAGGTTGCGGTGGCCGTGAGCGTGCCACTGCACTTCAGCCTGGGCGACAGAGACTCCGACTAAAAAATAAATAAGTACTAAAAAAAGATAAATATCGGCAGAAGAAACCACAAGCACTGTCCCAAGAAAACTGCTAAAGCGGGCCGGAACCGGGCCCTCCCCTCCCAAACCCGCCCGCTAGCGCGCGGAGAGAACTCACCGTCCGGTACTCGGTGTGTCTCGGAAGATCACCCCCTCGGCAACAAAGTCCCCAGATTCCGGAAGCGATGTCTAATCCCCGCCTTCCCCAAACCCACCTCCGGTTGGGCGGGTTCGGGGTCGCCATTTCTTTCCTGGTGGAAGGGCGGCTCCGGTTGTGGCCCTGCCCACTCCTCTGCTGAGCCCGCCTTCCCTGCCTGGGTCCAGTCAGCAGATATGAAAGAGAACAGGGGCTATCCGTCACTTCCGGAAGAGGTGACGGAACGAACCTACGGCCAGGACCGGAAGCTGAGGTGTGGGTTTGGGTCCTGGCTGTCTTAGCCGGTGTTGGTCTGTGTACGAGGCGTCTTTCATTTCTTCCTGCGCGAAGAAAAGTATTGGCGGAGATAAACTCTGCATACGTTTCCGTTGCTCGAGATTCCTCGGTTCTTTTTCGGGGCCAGCAGGACTCAGTTTTCTTCGAACTCTCAGCCATCACTTGGAGCCGACCGCGTTCTGTGATTTGCTTCGGGTACTTAAGAGATAGGGTGCCAGCACATTGATGAAGACCTCCTACTTAACGTATTGCAAGCTGAAAAATCTAATTTGTCATCCTTATTCCCGTAAATTACTTTCCATGTTCTTTATGGTTTGGGCTCATCTTTTATAAGTACTTTGCCTTGGAAGGCAGGCAAATAACAAGTACAGCTATCTGATAGACATGCGCAATGAAGAAAAATGAAGAGGGAGAATGCCAGGCCGTCGGTATCACTATAGGGTTAAGAAAGATCTCACCAAAAAGGGACAGTTGAACAGTGACTGGAGGAGGGCTGGAAGTAAACTCTGCGTATATTTGAGAGCAGTGTTCCAGGCAACAAGGAGAATGCAAAAGCTCTGAGATAGGGGTAACTTTAGCCTATTTAAGGAATATCGAAGAAAACAGTGTGGCTTGAATACAATGGAAACAAGTATAATTTATATTTTAAAATGTATTCTGGTAACACTAGTATCCAGATTATATAAAGAACTACAACTCTAATAAGAAAATCAGGCCGGGCATACTGGTTCATGCCTGTAATCCCAGTGACTCAGGCAGCAGAGGCAGGAGGCTGGAGGATCACTCTATGCCAAGAGTTCCAGACCAGCCCGAGCAACATAGCAACGATCCAGTCTCTACAAAAAAGTTAACCAAGTGTGGTGGTGCTCACCTGTAGTCCAAGCTACTCCACAGGCTGAGGCAATAGGCACGAAACTCACTTGAGCACCGAACTGTAAGGCTGTGATGAGTTATGATTGCACCACTGCACTCCAGTCTGGATGACAGTGAGACTCTATCTCTTAAAAAAAAAAAAAAAAAAAGGCCGGGGGCAGTGGCTTAAGCCTGCACTTTGGGAGGCCAAGGTGAGAGGACTGCCTGAGCCTAGGTGTTTGAGACCAGCATGGCCAACTTGGCAAGACCTCATCTCTACAATAAATTGGCCAGGTGTGGTGGCACCACCTGTGGCTCCACCTACTTGGAAGGCTGAAGCAGAAGGATGACTTGAGTCCAGCAATTTGAGGCTGTGGTAGCCATGAGCGTGGCACTGCACTCTAGCTTGTGTGATAGAGACTCTGACTCAAAAAACAAAAGAACCACTAGGGACAGGTGTTATTTTAACAGACACTTCATAAAAGATATACAAATGGTGAAAAAAGGGGGAAAAATGCTGAACATTAGTTACTGGGAAAATGCAAATTAAAAACATTTCCTACACACCCAAATGATGACTAAAATCTAAAAAACTGACAATACCAAGTGTTGCCAAAGATGCAGAACCAGAAGCCTCATATACTACTTTTCTGAATGCAGAATGATGTAACCACTTTGGAAAGCAGTTTTACAGTTTCTTTAATAAAGTTAAACATAGACTTCCATACCCAGCAATTTCACTCCCTGATATTTACACAGGAGAAATGAAAACATGTGCATGCGAAGATTGTGTGAAGCAGGTTCACTGTGTACTGGTTACCAACTTGTCTGAGTCCAGAAAGATCATCTATGCATGAAACTGGTAAGCATCAAGACACAACAAAAGGCTAGAATTCATTACTCATTGCCAGCTGGTCTTCTAAGTCCCAGAAAGGCTGCCCAAGGACTAGGCTAAACCTGTTTCTAAGAAGGACTGAACAAGGCCTGGGCTGTTCTGGTCAGTCCCTCTTTATCACAGGATGTTGCATTCCTAGCACATTCCACAGTTCTTGAGAACCACAAATGAGAGGGGAAAGAAGTGGGTCAGCCCAAAGTCACCTGGAAAACTGTCCTGCAGTCTGCCCACTCACCCTGATATCCACCCTTGGCCAAGCTAGTCCATTCCATATGCCCATCAACTTTCTAGGATCTGGAGGCATGCTTGTCTTGTTAGATCAATGTAACACCTTCACTGACACAGTCTCAGTGCAACATTGTTGAGCCATAGCCAGAATTCATTTTACTAAGCCCAGGAGGACTGCTACCACAAGCATGCTGATCTGGCCTGCCTGGAGCAGCAACTTAGGCCAGGACCCAGTCATCCAGGTAATAAGTTGCTAAAGATGTCAAAAATGGATCCTGCAGGTAGCCTTGATGTTTGCAACCAGTGACTCTGCTTCCAGCTCTCCTGTTTCTATAATGCACGAGGTGTTCCTATAGGTACAGCTGAAACTATTGGCAGTCAGACACACTCCTCGCAGTTGGGTAAATGAAAATCTAGAACAATTCCCTTGTTTAAGACAATCTTCTCAAGGAAGTTGAGGGATGTCTGCCAAGCGGCCAACCAAGTGCCAGTGAAGAAAGCACTATCTGCCATGGTCAGGGACATGTTTCTTATTATTTCATGAGCACTGACTCCTATGTATGGTACCACAAATCTCATAAAGGACATAAACCTAGAGTCACTTTCATCTCCTAGCAGGTCTTTAGTAAGCCTAGTGTATGACTTGAGGCTGTTGGCACGCTGATGAGTCTCATTTCCAGGGGTGACACCTAGGGACACCCCAGCATGCCCAGTGTACAGTATCTACCAGCTTTTAAGCATGACGTTGCCCATCCCACGTTTGGGTCACCCTCAGACTGCCCAATTCATGGGTATGAAAGCATTAGCATTTGTCACCCAAGTCTCATATTAGTTATATGAACTCAGTTCCCCCCATTCAATGTTGATCATGAAGCCCCGGTACAGAGAGACAGTAGTTTGTATCATCACTGGTATACTTTTCATCCAGGTAATCAAGGGAACACGGTATGTCAAAAGTACCAGCCCACCAAGTTTGTTGGTTGCTGTCATGACATGTTGCCACCTTAGGCCAATTAAGTTAAAATAGGGCACCTCCAGTTTCCTCCCATATGGCAAATGTCAGATCCCTGGTAAGCCAGGGCTCAGGTTCTGTTAGTATTATACTGTGCCATTAGGAATACTGGTGTCATGTACTACTAGCAGGACAAGAAGGCTGTGGTTGTCTGTGATGTCACCAGTTTAATTTCTCCTCTGAGAGAGCCTGGAAATATTGTCATGTAGGCTCTAGTATTAGCCCAGAGAGGTCTGAATTTCCCTCTTTTCCCACTTTATTTTGACGAAGTTCAGGGTCACTGGTCTCTGGTGGGGACCCAGAGACCTTGGCCCCATTCCTACCTGTATTAGATGCCCAAGACATCCGGGTTTGCAATGTCCCTTTATTAATCACATCATCCAGGCTGCAGGCTTCCCCATCCTTTCTTCATCTCTCCTTAGATCATGAGTCTCCCTTTCTATGGAGGGCTGCATTGTGTGTGTGTGTGGTGGTGGTGGTGGTGGTGGTGGGGTACCTCTTGGATGTTTCTGGGACCATCTGAGTATCTCTTTCCTGTTTCCTCTCAGGTGCCATAGGGTCCATTTGAATACCCACTCTACAGCTCTGGAAACGAGTGATCATGTAAGTGACCAATAAGCAAGTAATCCTGTGACAAACTCCCATTTCCACCTTACTTTCTTCCTCAACCCATGCAGCCAGCTCATGTACATACATGGGGTGTTTGCGTGTGTAACCTACATCCCCCTTATCATCTTTCTTTCCCCATAAAACATCTAGCTGCACGGTCAGTCCCTGCACCCCCAGGCTGACATTTCCATTCTAGGATCACCTACCTTCAAAAGCTTTGGTTCTGTCAGACTGGACCCTGCTTGCTGCATCAATTTTGTGAAGTAGGTTCACTGTGGTCATCAACTTGCCTAAGTCCAGTGAGACAGAGCACCCACACATGTTACAGGAAGCAGGTTTATTATCTACAGATTGGCAGTGAAGCACAAAAGAAGCCTGGAACACATTATGAGCTACTCTCCAAGGCTCAAGCTGCACAGGGTAGATGGACTCTCACAAGTGATTATTCATGGGGGTACAAAATAGTACAGACATTTTGGAAAAGTTTGGCATTTCCTTATAAAATTAAACATACACTTACTCTACAATAGTAACCCCATTTCAAAGGAAATAAAAACAAGTCACACAAATATCTGTATGCACATTTTATGGCAGCTTTGTTC